GTGGAGGTAGTCCACATCGGTGATGAAACTATTGTATGGCAGCAGAAAGCCGACACCAGCCAACAGCATGGCAAAGTAGATGCCATGGTAGCGATCATCAGGAATGGATTCCTCTGAGTCTGAAAATAAGACATGAGCTTATATGAATAGCAACCAGAATGACAGAGCAGCTAAGGCCTGTTATCTATACATAAAAATCAGCTCTTTTTTGCTGTGCATGATGGTGTCTTACACTAATGCAGGGTTTCCCAAAATAGGATTTGTAAACCCCAGGGGGTTTGTGACTTGACAAAAAAGCAAATAATTAAAATAAATTATTTTAAAATTCAAACAATGGAAATAAAAATTACCAAAAAATATTGAATACTTTTATTGTTTATTATAAATATTACAAACCAACATTGGAGAACCATGAATGTATGTGCTGTTGAATAATTGAAATATTCACTTAAAATCTCAGAGGAAACTTCAAGTATTGGATGGTAATGCATGTCAAAGGGGTTCGGCTGACAAAAATTTTGGAAATCCTCTGGAACTGAATTGAATTTTGGGAAATTCAAGCATCATATCCATATCCATATCAATGATAACCTCATGCATGCATCATATGCATAAATATATATGCACTGACTGCATTTTGTACATGCAATTTAATGCATTATTACGTATGTGCAATTTTTTTATGGCCCGGTTATTGCTTGATATAAGCTGTGTTGTACATATCTGTATCTCACCCTGAGCACTGTGAGGTTTTATCCTACCCGTCTTCTCCTCGTCTGGCAGCTGACTAAAGCTGAAATTCGTGATCACAGACTTCTCTCTACCCTGCCGATTCCTGCTCCACTCCTCGGAGTACATATCTGGAAAAATGACAGAATTCACACATGGGAAATTTCATGCTGTCAAGAGACAGATGAATTCATTGGGATTGTCATGTATCAGAATCAGAATCAAAATTAGCTTTATTCGCCAGGTGTGTGCAAACACACAAGGAATTTGTTGTGGGTTTTTTTTAAGGTGCTCCTGGTACATACATGCATACATACATACATACATACATACATATCTGACAGGAGAACAGAAAAAACAAAACAAACAAACAAAACATTTAAATAGTAAAAACTTAACAATAAATAATGTGTATGAATCTGGAACAGTAGATTTATGTACAGATTTGTGCATTATTTACTCTCTATATATATATATAACTGTATAAATAAAGAGAAATGCATATGTATTTACATGTATGCTTATAAAATAACAAATAATAACAAACATAAATAATCACATAATAAATTTGTGTGTATGTGTGCATATAGATGCTAGTATAGAGAGGACAAACGTTTTTTCTCTATCATATCTAAATAATTCATTCATGCTGCACATTATAATGTAGTGATATCTAAATTCACTTGAATATTGACATTAAAAATACACCTAACCAGAGAAATATTAACTGGAGTAAAAAGTGTGACAACTTGCCCCAGTATCTCCACAATGCTTATAGACCCAGGCTATAATGTGCAGGAAAATTCAGTTCTTTTGTTTTATGCAACCAAGCATTGCAGTGGTTCTATGTTTGTTCCTACACCTGTTTTCATCTGGGCATGGATGTGTTGTTTCTCTCCTACCAGTTGACTTTGGACGCGCGCGGTTTAATTTTACGGCATGTTATGAAACCCACTGAGTCAGTTAGTCTAGGTCAGTGTTTCCCAACCGGGGTGCCGTCTGTCGAGAGCAGGGGTGCCGTGTAAAAAATATTTTTTAATCTTTTTAAATTGCTAAAATGTTCAAAAAAGCAGCTATTATATAATATTAATATCTGATGTCGCCAATAATTAGAGATGCACTGAAATTCCGGCTGCCGAAAATTAGTCCACCACTCAGGATTCACTTTCATGTGGTGTGACTCTGTGTATTATCCCGCTCTGTGCGTGTGTGTGCCCTGCTCAGTCGCTCACGGCCCATGTGAGTGCCCACTCATATACCGTTCATGCTCATCGGAACAGCAAAGTCCACTCAAAAATCAAGCTGACAGGAAACATCTATGTACACTCTTAAAAATAAAGGTGCTTCACGATGCCATAGA